TGCCCAGAAACGTTCCTGTGTTGAAGCTTTTCATACTATTTTATTCGTTTTTATGTTGAATACTGATTTTTCTCTCCAATCCAAGGTAAATTTCATATACCGGAAGCAACACTTGAAATATTGCAGTATCAGATCACATACAAAACTCCGTCACCGCTGGCAGTTTACTAAACTCCATCGCAGATCTTTTTTAATTTTTTCTCTCTCCTCCGATGCGTTCCTATTTGTAGGAACTAAATCTGAGGTCTCAGTTTTTTCCGTAGAAAGGCTTAAGAAGCCTCAACATTATCATCTGCATTAAATACGAGGAAGAAGCGCAGAATGGAAGCTACTCCGCTCGCAAATTTTTGGCACCTTCATTTCATCTCCTTTTCTTTTACGAAGTGGAGACAACTCATCCAACTCAGTTTTCATTTAAGCGAAAAACGCCGCACAACTAGAACAGTATAGTATGCGGCTTCAATGTCTTTATTGGCTTTTCTATTTACCCACCTTCGCAATGTCAAAAAATAAAAAATGACGAGTTAGTGAATTTAGATGTTAAAAGATTTATAGCAAAAAGAAAGGATGGAGCGTTGACAAAGTGGGATGTAGTCGCGGTTAGTCTCGACAAACAACTGCTTCTGTAGCTTTTGGAAAATATGTGCCCCGCGATGTAATGGTTTCATCTAGAGGTATTGACTAGCATACAGTCGTTTCACAAAACCAACCTCTCAATCCATGTTGATCCAACAATAGTACCAAGTACATAACCTAAAGTCATAGCTGTACTGCTCCAAGATGCCACAGCTTGATCGAGATCTATCTGTTCCAGAAAATATGTTGATGATAGGAGCATTGACCATAGTGCTACAGTATTCTAGATGAAATCTATTTTTAAGGCCTTCTTGAAAATATTAATATATTTTACCTGCAGAGCAGAGATACTAAGAATAACAGCTCTCCGAAGATGAGGTTCTGTGAATATCTCTTTTATCGATTTCCACGATGTAGGTTCTTCTCCTTCTTGAGTTTCCTAAATATGGAATACGTTTTCTAAAGGTACTGGGCAGATAAGTGATGCAATATGCGCTGAA